ACAGACCCGCAGGCTGCATACAAGTGATCTCGGCGAAATCGCAGAGGTCACTTGTGCAAAAGGAGCGGCGGATTCACCCGCTCTACATTTAGTTCTGCTTGCCCAAAACTACCCGCCATGCGGCCAGAACTGCATGTCCCAGGCGTCGAAAGATAGAATTCCACACCCCTGCTGCCCCTCTATCCCCTGCTGCCCCTCTATCCCCTGCTGCCCCAAGGCTAGGCCTCGGTTGGTCTTGTGGGAAATCTGTCCCTGTGTCTGTTCATGCCTCCCTATCTGCCTTTGCTACTTAGCAGCCGTCCATGTTTCCACTGAAGTCTGGTCCAGGCTACTTTTACATGATCCCGGGAAAACAAAGGAGAAAAAAATGGAAACTACAAATATTGCTTACACGTCAGTAATTTAAAAAAATAGTTTTGCAGCTATTAGCAGCCAGGTTCCACCATATTTGCTTTTCGGTGTTTAAATAATGGATACAATGGATACAATGGTCATTAAATATTAGGAAAATAGAGAACGAGGGAATGAACAGATGGCAATAATGGATTATTTTTTGACTGACCTTCTATATTTTCTTCAGAAGAAATAAAATGTAAAGAACAAACTCTGGGCAGAATAAAATTAACCCTTGCATTCTGGCTAGGATTAATTTGTATTCTGCCTGGAGTCACAAAAGTCTGCATTGTTATTAGCCAGTCATGCCTGACTCGTAGACTTGCACTGGATGATAGGAGCAGAAAGGTTTATTCCTTTTCCCAAAGCAGTGCATTATAAGTGGCTATCTATGTATCAGGGAGCGTAGCTGACATCTCTGACACCTGTCATGATAGGAAACATGAGGGCTGCCCTTGTTGGCCTACTTCCCTAAAATGTCTGTGTCTGACTTCATAAGGTCAGAATTCCTTATCTTTACACTTGATTCTGGCCAGTGTCTCATAGTACTGAAGCCAAAGCACCAACATGGAAGCTTAAAATTAGAGCGCCCGACACCAGCTGAAACCTTTTTACTTTTTGGTTTTAAATAAGGTGTAACCTTTGTCAGGTGCGGTTGCAGGTTGTGCCCCATCTGGGGAGGTTTCGCTTCCTGTTTTGACACCCGGACATGGGGACAAAGTTAGCAATAAAAATCTGCCCAAGAAGCCAATCCTCCACTGTGCTGCACATAGCCTGTGCAGAAAAGAGTGCTCGGAGGGGCACTCACCCACTACACTACAGCCCCACCCACTACAGGCTGCCTACAGGGGGGCGGATACAAGACCAGTCACCCTGCACAAAGAGCAGCAGTGACTGGTCTTTCTTACAGGAAGCTCCTGCACAGGGATCTGCAAAAAAATACGCAAAGCTCACCAAGATTCAAGGAGCATACACATGGTTCTTGTATGTAGACACTATTTTGCTTATCCTGGAGTTCATATTTAAGACTTTACAGGGACCTCTTTTTTCCCCCACGTTTTTATTCAACCAATAGAGTTGTTTTAGGGGTTCCAACCTTTTCCTACTCTTCCCTGACTGCTAACACTGTCTATATTCATTGTCTTACCAAATCAGTAGCTATGCATTCATTTATATTATTATTATTATTACACAGGATTTATATAGCGCCAACACTATAAGGAAGAGTATTACAATTACAATACAATTCAAGACAAGATGGTAAGGAGGGCCCTGCCCATGAGGGCTTACAATCTAAAAGGGAGGGGGAGGTGATACATGAGGAGGTAGCTGTGTGGGGATGAATTGTTTGAGAATGTGATGGTTCAGTGGTTAGGTTGAGGTGGGATAGGCTTTCTTGAAGAGATGAGTCTTAAGAGATCGCCTAAAGGCAGTCAGAGTGGGAGATAGAGGGTCAGGTTGGGGTAGAGAGTTCCATAGGATGGGAGTGGCTCTAGTGAAGTCCTGGAGGCGAGCATGGGAGGAGTTGATGAGGGAGGTGGAAAGTAGAAGGTCATTTGAAGAGTGGAGGGGTCAGTTAGGGTGATACTTTGAGACCAGGTTTGAGATATAGCCGGGGGCGGAGTTGTGGACGGCTTTGTAAGTGGTTGTTAATATTTTGAATTTTATCCTTTGGGCGAGTGGAAGCCAGTGCAGGGATTGGCAGAGGGGGGCGGGGGGATGGAAGCCAGTGCAAGGATTGGCAGAGGGGGTGTTGCAGACACTGAGCGGTTGTTTAGGTGGATGAGCCTAGCAGCTGCATTCATGATAGCCTGTGTAGTGGAAGGTCAATGAGGAGGGAGTTGCAATAGTCAAGACGAGAGATAACAAGGGAGTGGATGAGTAGTTGAGCGGCTTCATTGGTGAGGAAGGGGCGTATTTTGGAGATGTTACGAAGGTGAAGGCGGCAGGATTTGGATAGTGATTGGATGTGGGGAAGAAAGGTGAGGTCCGAGTCAAGGATGACACCTAGGACCTTGGCATGGGGGGAGGGCTGGATAGTTGCTGCTAATAGTTGTACTTTTTTCAAGGCAGAAACATTGCTGAGCTCATCGACCTACTACCTATTCCATAACATACTGTATAATTTGACTAAATGACAGATTCTTTGTCATTCAAAAGGACTTTGCCCTTTGCAGCAATGGCTGGGGTTACCAAGCCCATCTCAGAGGTTCCACGCCTGCAAGTCCTTTTTAACGCCTGCAAATTTTATTGAAGTAGCCAGTTGGTTTCAGTTGGTCCTGGAATGAGCATAGCTTGAGCTTCTGGGAGGTACAGACGAATGAGAGATGCTTTTGAAAGCTGAACGTGGAGCCTATTGAAGACATGGAGTCAAAACTTACATGCCAGGCACAGTTATGGTGAGCAGTTTCTTGATAAGGCTTTTACAGAATAATCAAATGCTAATAGCCATGATGTGCAGCAGGGATGAGGTTCAGATTTGCCACATGTTGGGGTCATGGTGAATCTGGAGTGGGAGCGGGCATTTGAGGTTTGTGGTGACTGCGAATTTGTGCTGAAATTCACTAGACTAAATTATAAGGATCCATAATGCCCTGCTTAACCTTGAATATGGCCAATAAAGGGGGGTTTGTTATGTGCCACCCCTCTCACTATAAAAGGTGGGGAGGGTTCCTAACAGCCATTTGTCACTGTGTGTTGGAATAGTTTAGGGATTACTGACAGGCTGGGTAGGGAGAGTTAGTTGCTACATGGTGCTATACTGTGCTATATGGCGCTAAATTTATGTAGATTGCAGTGTGGTGGGCTGTATATATTCTTGTGTACCTGCCCTCCACACCACCAGCACTTGTTACTAACAAAGGCAGAGCTGCCCTTTTCTTGCAACACATAACTGCATACTTGTGCAGTAAAGTAGTGTGAACCGAAGCACCACATATTTTATATGTATTCCCCCTATTGCCATAGCTGTCATTAAATTTAGGAAATCTCCTTTGTGCAGTGATAAGCACTTCCTTGCAGCACTGGCGGCACTGGGTTTCCTCTGGGTACTCTGTTTTCTCGGACACTCCAAGGAAGGTTAATTGGCTCCTGTCTAAATTGGCCCTGTATGTATGGGAGATGGAGACCTTAGACTGTAAGCTTCTTGAGGGCAGGGACTGATGTGAATGTATACCATGTAAATTGATGGTGCTATATAAATACCTGTAATAAATAAATACAAAAAATGTCAAGCAGACCTAAAGTGAGAGGTAGAGGTTGTACAAGCAGAAATAGTAGGGGGCAAGCAGGTCCAAAGGAGAAAGTGGTGGTGAACCCGCACCATCTAGAGCAGTGGTGGCGAACCTTGGCACTCCAGCTGTTTTGGAACTACAAGTCCCATGAGGCATTGCACGGCTCTGACAGCCACAGACATAACTCCCAGAGGCATATGCATGTTGGGATTTGTAGTTTTGGCACAGCTGGAGTGCCAAGGTTCGCCACCACTGATCTAGAGGTAGGGCACGTCTGCCTTTTATGTCTCAGACTGGCCGTGATATACAGCCAGCAGAAGACTTTTTTTTAGTGGTTGAAAAAGCCTTCCCCTTCTTCCTCCTCCCAGGAACAGAGCAGCCAGCTGTCTGCAAGTGCTGCTAATGCACTTTTTTCCTCGTACTCCTAAGGTGCCCATACACCTTACGATTATCGGACGATAATCGTATGCGATCGACTTTTCGTCCGATAATCGTATGTGTGCATTGCAGTGTCCGACCGACAGTTTTGTATAATCGTACGACTTTTGACGGTCAAGCATGTTTGAAAACTTTGCTAGATCCTACGATTGTCGTAAGGTTGCTGGCGTTTCCGTCCGTCAAAAGTCGTACGATGTACACTGCGCTTGCGCTAACGAAAATACGGCAAATCAATTACCGCATTTCGTCCAGGTGCTTTTGGTTAATTACGGCTACATGATTCTTGCGATCATTGGGGCAGGATGGGGCTGCCGTACGAAAATCGTACGACTATCCGATCCTCAGACGAAAAGTTTCGTCCGATAATCGTAAGGTGTATGGGCACCTCTACTCTGCTAATCCTGCCATAGCCCCACGACCTGACTTTAAGCAGTCAACTAAATTATTTCCTCACATGATCAGTGACTTGCTGCAGGAGGATGATCTTGGTCATGTGCAAGCATTCTTCCAATGCGATCGACTTTTCGTCCGATAATCGTATGTGTGCATTGCAGTGTCCGACCGACAGTTTTGTATAATCGTACGACTTTTGACGGTCAAGCATGTTTGAAAACTTTGCTAGATCCTACGATTGTCGTAAGGTTGCTGGCGTTTCCGTCCGTCAAAAGTCGTACGATGTACACTGCGCTTGCGCTAACGAAAATACGGCAAATCAATTACCGCATTTCGTCCAGGTGCTTTTGGTTAATTACGGCTACATGATTCTTGCGATCATTGGGGCAGGATGGGGCTGCCGTACGAAAATCGTACGACTATCCGATCCTCAGACGAAAAGTTTCGTCCGATAATCGTAAGGTGTATGGGCACCTCTACTCTGCTAATCCTGCCATAGCCCCACGACCTGACTTTAAGCAGTCAACTAAATTATTTCCTCACATGATCAGTGACTTGCTGCAGGAGGATGATCTTGGTCATGTGCAAGCATTCTTCCTCTGGGATGTTGAAGATGAAGAAGATAGGTCCATGACTGTAGAAGTAAAGGAAGATTCAGCCACACAGCAGTCAGGGGACATCAGGCAGGGAGCATGAAGAGGCAGCAATGTTCCAACAGTTGGACCCTACTGTGAAGTGGGCTCCAGTGATGAGGAGGGGTGGATGATGAGGTGACAGACCATGCATGGGTGCCACCGACTAGAGAAGAGGGAAGTTCTGAGGGAGTAACCTATTCAAGAGTCGACCAAAATGGTTAGCAGTGACAAGGTATAGATAAGTGGAACAATCCCTCTCGTGCTCCTTCTAGAGCACACAAAAAACAGCTCCCACCATCTCTCCTGCCCTGTTCCGTTGCTTCAGAACTATAAAGATGCCACACAATGTCACTTTGTGGAGCTTGACCTCAGCTGACACATTTTATACCCCAAAGTCTGCAGCCTTTTCCAGTGCCCCGGCACTGTTAAGGGGCCACACAATGTTTCTGCAGCTTGACCTCAACTTGCTGCATGGTAATTCCTGCACTGCACCTCAAGGTTGTGGGCTATTCTGGTGCTCAGACACTTGAAATAATGTGTGGCTATTGTCTCTCAGATAATACACTCTAATTTATATTTAATGGTATAACCTTTATTCTCTCTTTAGGATAATACATTTTAATTTCTGTTTCAAGATAAAAACTGCCTTGTCTCTCCCTCTTATATTGTGGCCTAACCAAGCTGCTTACATGCTATCCAGGCACTGAACAATATTTGTGGCTTTTTGTCTCTCAGATAATACACTCTAATTTATTTTTCAAGATAAAACCTGCCTTTTTTTCTCCCTCTTATATTGTGGCCTAACCATGCTTCTTACATACTGTCTTGCCACTGAAACATATTTGTGACTACTAGTCAATTCAGGTCTATTACCACTTGAAAAAAGTTACCCCTGCACTCTGTGTTACATACTATTGACTTATGTACACTGCGCTACCCACTTCTGACACCTGTACTCTGTGAGTGTTGCTTTTATGAACTTTACAAAATGAAATAAAGATATATTTGGAAGAGATTAATAAATAATGAGACTTTATAAATAATGAGCAATGGCTTTTCTTTCAGGGCCCCCTGAAATTCCATACCAGACCCTTAATTTGAGGAGCGGTCTGGCAGGAAAGGGAGGGGGGGCGAGCAAGCAACCCCCCTCCCTGCACCACACCAGGCCACATGCCCCTAACATGAGGACAATGGCCTCTTCCCCACAATCCTGGCCCAGTGGTTGTGGGGGTCTGTGGGCAGGGGACATAAAGATGCCACCCCCCTTGTAAATGCATAAGGGGTAGTTGTTACCCCTACTTATTCACCAAAAAGTGCACAAAAAAGTAAATAAACACACCACACCTGGAAAAAGTCCTTTAAAAGAACAAAAAACACAAGTCAGTTTTTGACAAGTCCTTTATTCTTTAAAAAAAAAATTGTCCAAGGATGCAATTCAAAGGTCAATCACGTTGTCCAGCGATGTAGATCCTCGTCAATCACGCTGAATGACACCCGCCAACTCACCAAAATAAAACAAATCCCGCCACCCACCGACCCATACGCTACCGCCGAATGCCCGCCGCAAAATGACATTCCAAGACAGCTCTCTGTCCTCAAATGGCATGTAAACAAATGGGTGGAGCGAGTCCATGATGTCACAGGACTTGCTCCACCCATTTGTTTATATTGATACTAGCATTACTATTCCTTCTGTATTTACCACATTAGCCTTATCAATGTCATTTGTGACCACAGTCCCAAATTCATCATTTATGAGGCCTGTTTGTTCCATCCTTACATTTTTACTGTTGATATATTTATAGACCTTTTTCTGTTTTTTCTCGCTTTCTTTGTCTATGGGTTTCTTATCAGATTTTTAGCATCTCTTCTTGCATTTAGTACAGCTTATGGGACACTAATGTAAGCATCCACAGACTTATGGACATCACCGGAGCAGCGTAACTCCACAGTTAACCGTTTGCAGAAATAAACTGTAGCCACCAGCACCTGTTTCATTGGAAACACGCATCGTTCACAGCTGAAATTCTGACCTTTAAGAAATATTTTTGATATTCAGAACACAATTTTATAGATATCTCAATATTTCCACCTGACCATGGTTTACAGTCTGACAACCAACATAATATTACGCAGAATGAAATAACGATTTGTCAGACACAAGACATGATATATGCCAGAGGTATGTTTCTTCTAGGAGATCCAATGTTATCTATCAGTCTTCTGGATCTGGTATCAGAGGTTTGTTTGGTGTCTACCTGATTTCAGTTTTCTTATACAACATTAATATAATTTTTTTTTATTAATCCAACTCTATCATTATGGAAATTATATATTAATTCTGTGTAGTTCACAAACCAGGCCTGCAGTTGTGTATTGGGGAGGCCCATACCAGAAAAGGCATTTACAACATGTTGGTTGCTAAAGGCAACATTGCTTATTCTAGCACTCCTTTCCTCCTCTCCCCTTTCTTTTCCTTTTAATCCATTTTTCTTCCCCTCTTCTCTCCTCCCATACTCCCCTCTTCTCCCCTCCCCATCCTATCTCTATTTCTCTTCTCCATTCCCTGCCTTTCCCCTCCCCTCTCCTTTCTTTTCTTTCTCTCTCCTCCCCTCTCTTCTTCTCCCCTCCTCGCTTCTTCTCCCCTCTTCTCCCCCTCCTCCACTTCTTCCTCCCTTCCCCGCCTTTCCCCTCCCGTCTCCTCTCCTTTCCTCTCTTCTCTCTCCCTCTCATCTCCTTTCTTCTCCTATCCTCTCCTTCTCTTTCCTTTCTATGACCATTAATTACTTTCTTTATATTCTCCTGGTAGACTTTTCGGAGCACCAATGGCCATGAACAGACGGTATCCTATAATTCTACTAATTGCATTATTTCTTCTGAGTTATGGTTGGTACAGGACCCAATTTCAGGTAAATTATCTTACATTATCTTGTACATTGATGACTATAATACAGCAAACCATGGGTGGCAATTAGGAAATTTTTCCTCACCTTCAGTTTTGGTGCCTGCAGCCAGTGATGGGTTTTCCCCTCACTTTCTGTCCCAGGAACAGTTAGGAAGTGAGGACGAATTTCCCCAATGGGGACACACGGGCAGCAATAGAACTCTGACCACTCTTGAAATAAATTCATATTAGTTTAACGTAGCTCATGTGAATAACAGAAGTTGAGTATCTGTTTAAACTGGCACTTTTCTCCGGAAGGTGTTGAAACATTATTTCAGAGCAAAGCACCCCAGGACCCCAAAGAAGGTGGGAATGGATATGGAAATATGTCATGCTCCTGTGCTCCCTGGCTGCAGCCCACAGTCCCTCAACCCCCATTCTTCACTCCTTCATTCCTAAGCAAACGTGGGGTACGGGAGGCAGAGGGGGCAGCCAAGTACAGCAATCACAGGAGTTGGTTGGTATTTGAATATCAACTGATGTCAGAAGAAGCAAGTGCCAGTGTATTATATTTTAGTTTAGTTAACAGGAAAGCTCTTTTGAGTGTATTGCGGCTGCCATCACTGACCTCTTTCTGACCAGGCTATCTACCTGGCTGCCTCTGGCAATGCCTTGAGTCAATGACCTGAAAGAAGCATGCAGCAACCAAAGTCTCCTAATTAGATCTGCTAATCTGTATACTTCTTCCAAGCCAGTGACTCATAAAGTACTGAAACCATGGGTCAGCATCAGAGGCGTCCCGAGGCGGGGTGACACCCAGTGCAGGTACTGGGTGACACCCCGCAGTGACGCGCGTTATCGCTGTTACCGCTGTTACCTGCCGGCGGCCATCTTACCTGCTGTACCGCTGTTACCTGCCGGCGGTGGTGGATGCCGGCAGAGAGAGGAGGGGACGTCACCCGGCGGGATAAGGTATGCCGCCAGGTCCCCTCTTCTCTCGAGCAACTGTCGGGCTGTCGGTCCTTTCAGAGGGGGGTGACACCAAAATGACTGTCAGTCATTTTGGTGTCACCCCTCCAATGGTGTCACCCAGGTGTGGGCCGCACCCCCCGCACCCCCCATGTGATGCCACTGGTCAGCATAACAGCCAGGCAACTAGAGTTTTCACTACGAGGTTGTACCCGACAGCCTCCGTATTTCCTTAGTACAGGTTTTAATCTATTGCTTTTACTCCTACACAGTTGTTTCACGTATCGGCTGCAATTTTTGGCAGGGCTTTAAAACCTAAACAAACAGTAATAACTTGACAGATTTTCCAACCCTTCACTGCTGCACTTAAAACAAGAAGACAAATCATTATCTGAGGTTTCACTTTTGTTATCCACAATTATCTACACTAAATTTGCACTACACAGGGGTCCTCGAATCTTTTCACTGTCCATTTCACTGTCCTTAAGACATTGTTGGGAGGCGGTTTATAGTTTGAAAAATGGGGGACGTGGCTGCGGTGCCATTGACTTCAATGCACCACCACGCCCCCTCCTGTCCCAGAACGAAGGGGGAACGCACCACAATTGGTGTGAATCAGCCCTTACTTAGAGGGTATATATAAATATTTTTAGCAACTTCTTTAATGAACACATTTTTTTTCCCATACAATTCATTTTTCTTAGCCTGAGACATGTACTAGCATGATTTGTTATTATTTTCTACAGCTCAAGTATTTGTTATTTATTAAAATGAATGGGTATGTAGACTGCCCTGTCTTAACTCTTGATGGCAGCGTGCAGCTTTGGGAGAAGCAGGGAGATGACATCATGTCATATCCCAGCTCACTTCTTATTGGCCGCCCTCTAGGAGCCTGTGCTGGCGTGCGCCCAATGTTGGAGGGGCGCACCTGCACTGGGGTTACGCTGCTAAAGGAAGCCTGGCATTCGATTTGCTAGGCTTCTGTATGTCCCGTGCCTCTGCGTGCGCCCTGAGATGAAAGGGTGCAGCTGCGCGGGCCGAGCACCAAAAGCTGTCAGGCTTCCAGTACAGCCTGTGTCTCTTCCCCGACACCCAGACGGGGCCGACGCAATGCCGATCCCTCCCCGGACCCCGCCGGCAGCCAGTTGATTGCTATATGTTGTTTAGGGTGGCTGGGCCTATTTTAAGGCAGGGGCCTGGAGCTGCAGCTCCCTTAGCCCCTACGTTAATCCGGCCCAGACACCTATGGCAATGGGCGTCTGGCCAAGCGCGCCGGGTTAAGGACCCTGGTGGGCCAGATATGGCCCGCGGGCCGTAGTTTGAGGACCCCTGCACTAGCACATCGCACATGTGTAGCTACAGAAAACTCTTTCTTTTGTATCTCGATGAACATTTTTGTTTGGCAAATACATTTTTTAATAATTTGGTTGATATCTTGCAGGATTCTCTGAAACAGTTGCTCCACAGTGATCATAAGCCAATACAAGAGGAAAAAGATGAAACCCCTCCTCCTCCAACAAGAACGGAGCTTCAAGTTAAAATAGACAACCTGTATGAGAAAATACAGAAACTTATCCCTGATGCCCCATTTACATATTTCAACAGAAGCACCAGTGGGAAAAATAGTAAAGCCTTCATAGTTAACCCCAAGCAGCAATACTGTGTGGGAGAAGACTTGGTGGTACAGCTTGATATGTACGACTATTTGGGTAACAGGAAGGCATACGGTGGAGACTTTATACGGCCGAGGTTGTTTTCTCCAGAGCTTGGGGCATCTGTATCTGGCAGGGTAGAGGATTTCAACAATGGCTCTTATCATGTCCACTTTCCATTGTACTGGGATGGACAATCCAAAGTTTCCATCTTGTTGTTCCACCCCAGAGAAGGGGTGGCAGCTCTTTGGAGATCTAGGCATACCAGTCCAGGCGTTATTGGATTGGAAGGAAAGTTTGAAAAATTTGGCAAGGAAGCCAAAACGCCATGTGGCTTTGAGCTTGACAAGGGAAAGGGCAAGGAGATCTGTGAGTACGTAGATCCGGACTATGAAGAGGTCTTCTATTGCTACAAAGTGCCCAACTTCACCTGTGAAAGCCTGAATGAAATGAGAGGTTTTGATCTCCATGTTTCGTATCTTACTCCTGGAGAAAAGCAACTTTTTATGAGGTATGATGTTCTCCTAGCAGGTTCATGACTGAAGGCTGCCAAATGATCCTCAATCTTCACAAGTGATGAGAATTCTACTTAACGGCTGTCCATACAAAACCTTTTTCTTTTTAAGTTTTAATTTAAAGCTGCCCATTTATGGCAAGGTATCAGTCTCTTGAAAGAACAACCTCACACCCATTGATACTTACCTTTCAACATTTCCCCACTGCTCTGTTCCTCCATCGAAGCCAGTAGTCCAAAGGTTTAGGTTTATGTAGGATGGTATTGGAGCTTATACTGGGTTAATGACATCCTTCCCTCTCGCAATTGACATAGTTTGGTCCTGGTGGTTGGCTTCTTAGGACTGCATCCTAGGAGAAAGGGGAGAAGGTCAAATACTCCTTCATACCAAAAAACAAAACAAAATATGGAGCAATGGAGAGGCATAGGAGCACAGAGAAGGTAAGTATCAGTGTGTGGGTGTTGTTCTTTAATTAAAACCTGTCACTTTGCATTCAATGGACAAATTGAGCCCAACAGCTTAAATCATCCATCAGGTTTTTATTACTTTTGGCCAAGTAACTTTTTGCTTGGCCCTCATATTACATAATTCTTTACATATCTAAGGGAAATTGTGCAGAGTTTGTACAATGATTGTAACATGTCTAGTCAGCTTTAGAAGAATGCAAGTGTTTGCAGAATGTAAATGGCTGACAGCTGAGCTTGGTTGACATCCCATTACAAACATATGGAAATTTTGGAATGGTTCTATTAGAATTTGAGCCCATTAAGCTAAAAGAACATTTTTTGGGGTTGACCTGTCTCCCAATTGGCGTTCCATTTTATCTCAAAGGTGTTTAATAGGGTTGAGGTTAGTAGAGGCGTAACTACTATTCATGGGCCCCATTGCACCTGGCAGCATCAACTGGCATAATAGTGTAGTTGATCTTAAAGTGCATGTCCAGCCAAAACATTTATTCTTAGTTTTGGAAAGAGTGGGAAATGATTTCTGTATGTTTTTTACTACTATCTGGTGGTCAATTACAGAGATTTCCCCTCAATCCCTGTCTTATTGAAAACTTCTCAAGAACTTCTCCTATCCTCTGGAACTTCTGACCTCAGTCTTTCTGGCTTTGTCCTACTCTATCTGCCTTTAGATGATCCCTCAAAACTCACCTCTTCAGGGAAGCCTATCCCACCTCTTAACTAAGAACTGAACTTTTACCTTCTCCATCAACTCCCCCCCTCCCATGCAGCTATTAACTTTATTAACTTTTGCATCACTTGCCCCTCTTTTTAGATTGTAAGCTGTCATGAGCAGGGCCCTTCTAACCCTCGTGTCTTTAACTGTATTGCAGCTGTCCTGTCTCCCTTTTTATTATTGGTGCTATATAAATCCTGTAGAATACTCAATTAATTATGTTAAGCACACAAGGATGGTTAAACATGAGAACAATGAGGTCTCTGAAAAGAAGGAAACATCCTGAACTTTCCTTTGGCAAGTTGTATGTATCTGCCTATATTACTTTTCCCAGCTCATGTTTGTCTTGTGGTTGGATTAATTAATGGGACTGTATTTATACTTGAATCAGAATTATTCAATCCCCTTTGCAATTCAGGTTATTGGCAAAATGTACAGACTTTTCAACTGAAAATGCAACTTTTATTGCCCTTTGCAGTCTCAAAATGATTCAACCCCTTCATGGCAAGCTTCTTTTGTACATAGTATAGCACCCAGAAACAGCAATTGGTCAACAAAGACCTATGAACAGGTTTTAGTGTAACTGCTTTTCCCTCATATTGACTTTATTATAACATTAAAGTTGGCATCAGTCCTCTTTTTTTCAATTTCCTGATTATTCAAGCCTTAAGCTGGCCATATACCTATAGATTTTCTATAGACTTCACTTCTATCAGGTCTCTCTTTTCATCTCTCTTTCCTATTTCTCTCTCTTTTCTCCTCACTTGTCTCTCTTTCTTTCTTGTTTCTCTCTCTCTCTTTTCATCTCTCGTCTCTCTCTCTCTCTATTTCCTATTTATCTCTCTTTATTTCTCTCTCTCTTTTCTATTTCTCTCTCTCTCTCTCTCTCTTTTTTCATGTCTCGTCTCTCTCTCTCTTTCCTATCTCATTCTCTCTTTTTTCATGTCTCGTCTCTCTCTCTCTTTCCTATCTCATTCTCTCTCTTTTCATCTCTTGTTTTTCTCTCTTCCTCTCTCTCCTATTTTTGTCTCTTTCTCTCTCTTTTCTTCTCTCATGTCTCTCTCTCTCCCTTTCTCTCTCATGTCTCTCTCTCTCCTTTTCTCCTATTTCTCTCTCTGTCTATTCCTCTCTCGTCTTTCGTTCCACCTCCCTTATTTCTCTTACTCCCTTTTCCTCTCTCATCTCTCTCTCTTCCGTTCTCCTATTTCTCTCTCTTCCTCTCTCCTATTTCTCTCTCTCTCTTTCTTTCTCTCTCTCTATTCCTCTTTTCTCTCTCTCTCTCTCTCTCTCTCTCTCTCTCTCTCTCTATATATAATCTTTATTTCTCTCTCTCTTTTCTATTTCTCTCTCTCTCTCTCTCTCTTTTTTCATGTCTCGTCTCTCTCTCTCTTTCCTATCTCATTCTCTCTTTTTTCATGTCTCGTCTCTCTCTCTCTTTCCTATCTCATTCTCTCTCTTTTCATCTCTTGTTTTTCTCTCTTCCTCTCTCTCCTATTTTTGTCTCTTTCTCTCTCTTTTCTTCTCTCATGTCTCTCTCTCTCCCTTTCTCTCTCATGTCTCTCTCTCTCCTTTTCTCCTATTTCTCTCTCTGTCTATTCCTCTCTCGTCTTTCGTTCCACCTCCCTTATTTCTCTTACTCCCTTTTCCTCTCTCATCTCTCTCTCTTCCGTTCTCCTATTTCTCTCTCTTCCTCTCTCCTATTTCTCTCTCTCTCTTTCTTTCTCTCTCTCTATTCCTCTTTTCTCTCTCTCTCTCTCTCTCTCTCTCTCTCTCTCTCTCTATATATAACTTCTTTCTTTCTCTCTCTCTCTCTCTCTCTCTCTCTCTCTCTCTCTCTCTCTCTCTCTCTCTCCCTCTCTCTCTCATTTCTTTCCATGCTCTTTATCTAATCTATTCATTTTTCAAGCAACAATAACCCACCTAAATATATTGTTTCTAAAGTTCTGTATTGTGTTAATCATCTCTTCACTTCACAAACATCCGCCATTCTGAAATACTCTGACTGTAGAATGTTATTTTGTTTTCTAAGGTCAAATATTGCTGTTGAAATCCCCCAAAAGTTCCCACCTATAATAGTATCCCGATGTAATGGTAAGATGCTTGTTTTCCTTTTTTTAATTATTATTCCGCCCAGATGAAAGGATATTATGATGGCAATAAGGCTGAAAAATGGTGGTGGTGTACTCCCAGTCATGGGGGGTCAGTTAGGATTATCAAACCATTATATTGACTAAGAAAACATTTTTTTTGTAACCAAAACTCTGTTGTGGGTTAGTGAGTTTGAATGTACTGACCCATATAGTGATTATAGATTATAGTGGAGTCTAATATGGCTGATTTCTCTGGCATTGATTGCATGACTGCACCATTGAAAATTGTTATCTAGGAGTAGATAAAGAGATATACTTCTTGGCCTTCTTGGCCACCAGGTCCAACAATTTATTTTGCCATATTGTGCTTGCCAACTAGAAATTAGTGTTCAAAAACAAAGCTGGCTGAGACTTCAGAAAGTTATGTGTTCAACTTTATTGATTTCATATCCTGTGTGATCTGTTTTCCAGGCTCGACATTTACTCCCAAGCCAAAATGTCAGACAGGAATGGGGTCTCCTTTCCAAAGTGGATATTTTTTCCAAAATATTTGGAATCCCGTCTACTGCAATATGACTGTCTACAGAACCGGAGAATACTTTTTGAGATGTCTGAAAGGAAAGAATCTTTTCCTCATAGGAGATTCTACATTGCGGCAGTTCATGATGCACTTTACTGAAGGCATCAAAAGTAAGAATTATACGAGCAAAGTACTGTAGTATTTATATAAACATTACAAATTTCAGTGAGGACAACATACTATAACAACTACTATTCCACTGATGGTTCTTATTGACCCGTTCTCATGATGTTGGATCTCTGAGCAATGATTTATTTGGTTGAATACTAGACAGGAGGTTCTGCAGTATTCTGAGATGGAACTTGAGATCAGTTTGTGAGGTTTCTCTAAGATACAGATAGAACTGGTGAAACTCCATGGCACGGTGATAAGCCTGTTTGCTTGGCTAACTTTCATTTACACTTTATGACTAAAAAAGTTTGTGGACCCCTGACCATCATAGAAGTTTGAGCTTGTTGGAAATCCCATTTCAAAACCATAGACATTAATATGGCGTGGCCCTCCACCTCCTTTTCTCTTTAACAGAGAAAAGAAGGTGGAGGGCTACACTTATAACACTCCTTTGGGAAGACTTCCCACAAGATTTTGGAATGTGTCAGTCAGTCAGAAGTATATTTGTGAGGTACTGATGTTGGATGGGAACATTTGGCATAAAAACAGCATTTCAAGTCTTCCCAAAGGTGTTCACTAGGGTTGAGGTCAGGGCTCTGCACAGGCCACTTAGGTTTCTCCACACAAAACTCATCAAATCATGTCTTTCGTTGGTTTTGTGCAGTCATACTGGAACAGAACTTTCCCAAACGGTGGCCACAAGGTTGGAAGTGCACAATTGTCTAAAATGCCTTTGTATACTGTAGCACTGACAGTAATCTTCACTGGAAACAGTTGAACTTAGTAATTTGGAGGTGGAGTCCGCATACTTTTGACCACATAGTGTGCGTTCAAATTATTGTTTTTTAAAGAATAAGAATTGGCAACATGGGAGCTCTAAAATGCGAAAAGTCCATTGTAAAATGGATCCCTGAGTGTTCCTATAAGAAGCTAATTAATTATTCAGGGTTACATACATACTTTTTGCAGGTGCTTAGAATGGTAATCTTAAAATTAGATTTTTAATGGGCATATAAAAAGTTATATCTGTTTATAATTCCCATTAATCTATTTTAAAGTGGAATAATTAAAGATAACCTATAGTGGGCACCATGTGGTAACTCCTCCCATGCTCACCCTCAGGACTTCTGTAGAGTCTCTTCCATCCTCTGGAACTCTTTACCCCAACCTGTCCATCTATCTCCCACACTGACTGCCTTTAGGAGATCCCTTAAAACTCATCTCTTCCTTGAAGCCTATCCCACCTCAACCTAACCACTCAACCTAACCACTCAACCAGGGCCAGTGCAAGGTTTTTTGCCTAGGCGAAGGTGCATTTTACCGCCCCCCCTCATACCGACACCCTCAAGCAGTTTTATGGTACTGCTGGCCCTGCAAAGACATCCCATAAAGCAGCACTGTTATGGAGGTATATACACTGACTGCCAATGTAAGAGTGTAACGAAAGTCTGCACAATGACCGCCAATGTAACGAAAGTATTTACAATGACCGCCAGTGTAACGAAAGTCTGCACAATGACCGCCAATGTAACGAAAGTATTTACAATGACCGCCGATGTAAGAAAGGTATACACCTTAAATTTACCTTGTTCTTGCAGTCTTCAGGCAGTTTCTTCTTCCTTAGCAGCAGGGGAGGGGGGCGCCGATTTGCATATGAATGCAAGGGTCGCGGCTTATTGATATGCAAATTCCTGCGGACCATTCATATGCTAATATCTCGGCCAGGACAGTGCAGGCACTGCAGGAAGAACACTGCAATGTCCCTGCCGATATATTATCATATGAATGGGACGCGGTAATTAGTATATCAATAAGCCGCTGCCCATTCATATTTAAATATCGCGGCTCCGGTATTAAGAGGTGAACTTCAATAGAAAGATTTTGTTACACTTGTAGGTGGTCGTGTATTAAGTTCTGTTTTAGCCCAGCAAACCACTACACAAAGAAACTATATTGCTCTTAATTAACGCTTATTCTTGTCTCCAACAGTTGTGAATTACTTCCGTTACCCTCTAAAAGGATGGGCCGGTTGGGCAAAGACCCTTGAAGCCCTAAATATGGAAAATGACCTTTATGTCTCCTATAAAAGACATGGCTTTCCCCTGGAGCATAGTGCTTTCTACTACTTCAAGGAAGACATGTACACGAGCCGTCAGATTGATATACGCGGCGGAGGGAAGGACACCATTTTTGTTATAACACTGGGCCAGCACTTCAGACAGTTCCCTCTTAAACTTTTCATCAAACGGGCACTCAACATCCACCGAGAGGTAGAACGCCTCTTCCTCCGGAGTCCGGACACCAAGGTTATCATTAAATCAGAAAACACCAGGGAGATCTTTGCCCCAGTGGAAAGACAAGGGGACTTTCATGGCTATACCCAGTATCTTATACTCAGAGAAGTTTTCCAGGGCCTTAATGTGGGCTTTGTGGATGCCTGGGACATGACAGTGGCATCTGCCACAGCGTCTGTTCATCCTCCAGGGAACACGTTTGTCAGTATTATGAGCCTGACATTTAGTTTTGCTTGTTAATTTGAAAAGATTGTGATGAAGGAACAACGTAGAATCACAAACACTTTCTTTGGAAAATGCCCTTGGGATTTTGGGAGGTGTCCATATGGTGGGGCAAAACATATATGCCCCAGGCCCTCCTAGTTACATACATTGCTACTTAGTCTGTCCATTGTCTTTCACTTGGTGACTTGGTTGACTATATTAGGCATTGTGTTTCACAATACATAATTGGTTCTCTGAAATCCTTGTTGTGTCCTACGCCTGATAAAGGGAGAAGTTTCCTACTGAAGATGTATTATTCATTTCCTATTCCTGAACATACATCCTACCAAGTGTCAACACCCTTCCAGCCAATGCTATCCACAATATGAGTGTTTCTGTTGTGGGGAACAAGGGATCAGCAATATATGGAGTAGGCCCAGGGGTCTCTGGTGTAAACTCACTGCTTCTCTTGGTCTAGATGTTGTTGCAAGACCATGTTCTTACTTCAGTGGAATGCATCCAGTGAAAAATGTGCTGTTGAGTTCTTTGAGATTGGAAGTCATTTAGAATTTAATCACTGCCTGGTGGATCAGTTGATACTCAACTCTAATGAAAACTTTTTTTCCTGATTTTTGAAAAAATGGGGAAGTATTAGAACCTTGGTCCGATTCTTATTGCTGTCCATTCTGCTGGGGATATTTCCCTTCACTTCCTGCCACTGTAAAGCTTTGACAAGGTACGAAAGGCATGTCACTGACTCAGGTAGCCACAAACAGCAGCAAATAGCTGACAAACATTCTAACCTCTTCAACACACTACTTTAAAAAGGTGTTTGTGTTGCCATCTCTGTGCCTATAGGAGAGATTTCCCATCACTTCATGTCCTGGTGACAACCTCTCACGAAAACAGGAAATTAGAGAAAATGTACCCTCTGGGGACCCAGGCAGCAATATAAATCTTTCAGAGGTTCTAACCACTTTCCAGCTCCAACAAAACATAAAAGAAATATGTTTTAACTAAAGCACAGCTTAAAAATGTTATGGGAAGTCTCTGGTAGCATAGTGGCCTTAATATTCCCAGTCTCTGGTAGCACATTGGACTTCATATTCCCAGTCTTGAATGGGTGCGAATAAAACGCTGATGCCAATAACACAGCAGAAGCCAATTTGTCAGCTAAGCAGTGCAATGAATCCTTGGAGTTTTTCTATTACCATACATTGGCAGCATTTTAACCTGCAGAAGAGCCAGAGGCACAGAGCATCATGCCACCTATGTTGACTGCCCTGTATGATGATGATGGGACTTCTCTACACCATGTCACTGACCTCTTCATCCGAAACTGGTGACAGCTAGCCTTCGCTGAGATCCCAGAGTCCCTGTCCATGGCTTAGAGTCTAGCTGGTTCCTTCACTCAGTCTCCGGCTGCTCTCAGCTGGTAACACTGCTGTGCTCCATTGCCTCTGGCTCTGGCCTCCTCCCCCGCCCTCAGGAGGCTGCCTATGCCAGCACCGGCCCTGGCAGTGCCTACAGAGCGGCGGCAGAGGGGGGGAGCGGCAGTATAATAATTCTTATCTTGGGGGTAGGGGGGCAAAAGGTCCACCACTGACCCTGACTGCTAACTCTGTCTATATTCATTGTCTTAGCAAATTAGCAGTTATGCATTCATTTTTATGCTAATAGTTCTACTTTTTTCAAGGGCAGAAACATTACTGACCTTATCGACCTACTATGTATTCCAGGATTTTATAACATACTGTATAATGAGATTAAGTGATAGGTTCCTCGTCATGCAGAAGGACTTTGGCCTTTGCAGCAATTGTTGAGATTACCAAGCCCATCTCAGTGTTCAAGAATCACAGAGGTTCCACGCTTGCCAGCCTTCTTTAAAGCCTATGAATTTTATTGAGATAGCCAACCACGGCTTGTTGGTCCTGGAATGGCCCTAGTTTGAGCTTCTGGGAGGTACAGATGAATTAGAGATGCTTTTGAAAGGTGAAAGTGGCGCCTATTGCAGACATGGAGTCAAAACCTACATGCCAGACACAGTTATGGTGAGCACTTTCTTTATAAGGCTTTTACAGAATAATCAAATGCTAATCGCCATGATGTGCAGCAGGGATGAGGTTCAGGGACGAGGTTCAGATTTGCCACATGGTGGGTTCATGGGGATCCTGGGGTGGGAGGGGGCATTTGAGGTATGTAGTGCCTGAATTTGTGCTGAAACAGGGGTCTTCTCCCCTTCGCATCTCCCCACCCAGCTCTGGCCAGCATCCCACCCAACTCCTGGCAGCCAGTGATGTCCGCGGTTGCTAAGAGTTGGGCATGGAGATGTGTATAGCCCTTATGCATCTCCCTGCCCAGAGATACAATAGGCATTGCAAAGCTGAGGTAAGTCCTTAGCTCTTAAGTGTCACGTGACACAGCCTTGAGGGGGGGAGATGGGTGTTAGTTTCTCCCGACCACAGCACTGTGTGTTATATAGAACTGACCTATGAACTCTGCATTACTTACTCGTGACCTTTGATCTCTGCATTGCATACTCCTGACCCCTGCACTCTGTGTTCATGCTACTGACCTTGGTACTCTGTGTTATCCACCCCTGACCCCTGTATTTTGCGTTCATACTTCTGACCTCTGAACTCTGTGTTATCTACTCCTGACCCCTGTATTTTGCGTTCATGCTACTGACCTATGTACTCTGTGTTATCTACTCCTGACCCCTGTATTTTGCATTCATACTACTGACCTCTGCACTCCGTGTTATCTACTCCTGACCCTTGTCTTTTGCGTTCATACTGACCTTTACGTTACCTACCTCTAACCCCTGTACTTTGTGCTCATGCTACTTACTTCTGCACTCTGTGTTACCTTTTCCTGTGCTGTGTGTTCACACTACTGATCTCTGAACTCTGCGTTATTTATTTCTGACCCCTGCACTCTGATTTACATACTACTGACCCATGAACTCTTCAAACCTTCCTTTATTTTTTAATTTGGCCCTGCTAGGCTTTTACATAATAAAATAATAGGGTGTGCTGTATCCTGGTGATCTTTGATCTCTTCCATGTTGTTTAGGTACAGTATATCTCCACCTCTCCATGGTAGCCTACGCCTGGCCTACAGTAACACAATACGGGTTCATTTTTTACAGTAATAATCATACATCATAGTTACATAGTTGTTAAGGATGGACAAAAGAAAAACTGTCCCATCTAGTCCAATCTATGTATGTGTGCGTCGGTTTGTTTATACAGCAGGGTCTATTTATAAATATTTTGTAGGGCCGTTCGCCCTGCGAATATCTGTAATAATAAATTCTGTGCAGAGACTGTATATGCCAAAACAAATGTACTGCTACGTCTAGTGGCCATAATGTGGTTTCTACATGGGAACCACATTTGCACTAAGTCAATCAATTTATACCATAGTTTGGCTATCACCAAGCTAAGCTCCTGTAGGACTCATGGGTGTAAGCCCGCAGGCCCTGGCAAGTTGTTTTTATTTAGCTTTTCTAGTCTTTCAGTTTCAGACCCTGTTTCCCTTAAATATCTATTAGCATTACTATAACTTCTTTTGTGAATGTATAAACTGAAGAAAAAAATATGTATTTAGCATGTTAGCCGAATCAATGTAATTTGTGACCAAAGTCCCACATTCATTCTTTATGGGCCTGTGTTTTATGTCCTTACTTTTAACTGTTGATATATTGAAATAACTTTTTGGTGTTTGTTTTGCTTTCCTTGGCCGTGGGTTTCTCATCATTTCTTTTGGCAGCTCTGATATCATCCTTGCATGCATTACATTGTATTTTATTAAGGATAATTTTTTATACTCTAATGTCCCTGAAGAAGACACGTGGCCACAATTTAAGATTGGATGAACAGAGGTGTAATTTGAAACCAAGTTCTATACTGTTAGAGCCGTGAAAATGTGGAACTCTCTTCCCCACAAAGTGGTATTATCTAAGGGTGCAGATAAATTAAAAAAACTTTCAGATATCATCCTCAGACTGCATAATATACAGGGCTATGGGATTTCTTAAATTACAGGGATTGATTTGATCACCAGTATGAGGTTGGGGAAAGGAAAGAGGGGAAAAAAAGGAAATTTGCTTATTCCCTTTTGCAGCAAGTTGGCCCATAATTGTAGGGGATGTTTTTGAAACACATAAAACGTACACACACAGAAGTTGAACTTGATGAATGTGTAACTATTTTTAACCTTATTGTCAGGGACTCTTACCCTTCCTTATCCACTTGAGTTGCAGGTTCAGCTTCTCTGCAGTGTTTCTGACACTGACTGCTGCTCTTACCCTGTTTCCCCGAAAATAAGACCTACCCCGAAAGTAAGACCTAGCACTATTTTTCAAGATTCCTGCAATATAAGACCTACCCCGAAAATAAGACCTAGTTTGGTGGTAACATGTGATGGGGAACTTGCAGGAGAGATGGTATCAGCCTGCAGGGACATACTGTATTAAGGGGATGACAGGGGACTCCCTCCAGACAGCGCAGTGACAGGGAGCACTCCAGTAACATACTTCACCAACTGCTGTCCCCCTGAAGGCACTGCTTAATGTAATGGTACTGTACTGTTATGTGTACCGGTAAACAGTACTGTACTTTACCACGCTGTCCACTGTTTGATGTCCCCACTGCTGCACCGCTGGTACCACTGTCCCTGGTGGCAAAGGAAGCCGGCGCTGTAGAGAGCAAGGCTGCGGCGGCGGAGGGAGCAGAGCCGCATTAGCCGATATTCCTCTATAGCGCCAGTTACTGTGACAGGCGGACTGATACCAGATAACTTTGGATTGTTGTACATGAATAACTTTAGATTGTTGTACATTTTGTTGCACATTAAAAAAAAAAAAAAAACATCCCCTGAAAATAAGACCTAGTGTGGTTTTTGGGGGCAAAAAAATTATAAGACAGTGTCTTATTTTCGGGGAAACACGGTAGGTGCCCTCTTATGACCAAACCTGTACTTCATCATTCTGCAACTACTAACAAACTCCTGGCAACTTCCTGTCTCACAGTGATGATGCAACTCCAGTTCACTATATAATCATCAGTCTTTTCACTTGGTTTCCGCCCTTGCATATGTTCAGACCTACCAAGTG